CGGTGCGCACCGCGCAGGGACACAGAAAATAACGGAGGGACTCTGTCAGCGACACATGGTGACTGGGCCTACTGTGGAACACAGAAAATAACGGAGGGACTCTGTCAGGGACCACGGCGGTGCGCACCGCGCAGGGACACAGAAAATAACGGAGGGACTCCGTCAGGGACCACGGTGGTGCGCACCGCGCAGGGACACAGGAATTAACGGAGGGACTCCGTCAGGGACCACGGCGGTGCGCACCGCGCAGGGACACAGGAAATAACGGAGGGACTGTCAGGGACCACGGCGGTGCGCACCGCGCAGGGACACAGGATATAATGGAGGGACTCCGTCAGGGACCACGGCGGTGCGCACCGCGCAGGGACACAGGAATTAACGGAGGGACTCTGTCAGGGACACGTGGTGACTGGACCTACTGTGGTGATGGATTCATGATGTAAATAAACGTCAGATCTCTTTGCTGTATATCTGAAGCTAATATAATATTGTACATTAACTATATTTCAATAAAAAATGAAAAAAGATGCTGAAAATTTAAATTGGCGAGCAAAACAGCTGGTATATAGGACACATTCTATGACAGCAAATTATTTGAAATATTATTTTCATTCAAAGGACTTCTGAAATAAAAATAAGTCTACTCTCACGGTCGTTTGCAAAAAGAGAGGGAATTGAATCTTTTAAACTTCGAAATCTCCTGTTGAAAAATATATGTCATCCTGGGTGGATACTGAGGGGTTTCAGTCAGGACCACTGGGTGTGACTGCCTCTCGGCCCCAGGGATGGGGGACGGGGGACGGGGGACAGCGGACCTGGGCAAGCCGTCTGCCTCCCTCTTCCAGTCACCTCCCTTTGTCATGGCTTTGCTAGCGTGTGAGATGAGTGCAATTGTGCAGTAGTTTGAACATTCTTTGGCATTTCCTTTCTTTGGGATTGGAATGAAAACTGACCTTTTCCAGTCCTGTGGCCACTGCTGAGTTTTCGAAATTTGCTGGCATATTGAGTGCAGCACTTTCACAGCATCATCTTTTAGGATTTGAAGAAGTTCAAATGGGATTCTATCACCTCCACTAGCTTTGCTTATAGTGATGCTTCCTGAGGCCCACTTGACTTCACGTTCCAGGATATCTGGCTCTAGGTGAGTGATCGCACCATCATGATTATCTGGGTCACGAGGATCTTTTTTGTGGCCACTGGGGAGGGGAGGGCCGGGGAGGGGAGCAGACTGCATTTCCCACATCCCGCACTCACTGCCAAATGACACCAAACCCCCTAGTTTCTGCTTAGGTTTCCTGCACTGTGTTCTGCGCACCAGAGCATGTGGTCCGTGTTACAGCCGTGGTTCTCCCATGTAGCACAAGCCTCACACATGACACAAGCCCAATGAATATCTTTGAATAAATAATGAAGGAGATAAATGAATGCTCACCTTATTAGGTTAGGAAACAGAAGAATCTCATATCCTTTGTTGCAGCTGGATGTTTTACTAAAGCACTTTCTTATAACAGAAAATCTGTAGCATGCAAGCAATTTTCTGCAGGAAGAAGTAAATACACCAGAAATTCAAACTTTGAAAAATTCATATGCTTTGTACATTTCTAATGTACTTTTTAAGAAAAAAGAAAGTATTAAATGAGAAATTAGCCTCATACTTATTTTTATCACAGCACAAGTTGAGGAGAATAATACCATGTTACTCAAATTTCTATTCATCTTACTTAAGTCTATGAAAATCAAAGTATCTTTGTGTTCAGAAACTAATTCTCTTCTCAGAGTCTCCATACACTTATGTAACTGAAAATAAGGTTTGGTACCTTATGAGTCAAAATTCAATGTATTCATGGTTTATTTCTATTTGGAGACTATTCTAAAAATTCAGGTACCTATTTGGATATTCTTGTACCTACTGGATATATTTAAATATCATCTCCAAATATTCTTACTTGGGTAAGGATATGGTGACATAACCAGTTTACAGTTCAATCATTCATTCTCCAAAATATTTGACATGTGTGTTCATAACCCGACTTGGGAAGGACATTTTTATTACATGGGCAATAAAATGTCTGTAATCCATCAAGTAAGAGAGGCAGTGACCTTATTACGTCAGCCATCCACTAGATTCTGAGCAAGATGGTGCTCTTGCACGAATCACATCCTCAGTATCTACTCAGGCATCAAGACATCATTCAAGAATCAAATTATTACGTCAGCCATCCACTAGATTCTGAGCAAGATGGTGCTCTTGCACGAATCACATCCTCAGTATCTACTCAGGCATCAAGACATCATTCAAGAATCAATTGTTGTTCAATGTGTGAACGATTGAGAAGAATACTGAGTATTAAGAGTGGTAAAAGATACACGTATTTACATACAGTTATAGGCCCTCACTGATCACCCACCTGAAACCCATTCTTGATTTAAAAGCCCTCTACTGTCCGGCAGCCACACAGGCCTAGTCAGTTTCCCAATCCTCTGAGCATTGCCGATTCTCAAGGGGCCCCAACAGGCGTGTTCCTCCGGGAGATCCCTGCAGGGACCACCCCTCCCCTGCGGTGTGATCTTCTCTCCCTCGCCTTCCTGCTTTCTTTCTGCCTTCCTTCTTTCCTTCCATCCTTTTCTCTCTTTTTCCTTCTCTCTTTCTTTTTCTGCCCTCTGCCCTCTTTCCTTTCCTCCCTCCCTTCCTGTTCTTCGGTAGCATATTTGTGTTGATTATATCACACCATCCTATTTAATATGAAAAGTCATCTTTCCAAAAAATTCTCAAAAACAGTACTCACTTCAACTTCTTAGCACACAAATATCAACAATTTGCAAAACAGTATGGATTCAGCAGCACGAAGGCTGGGAAAACATGATACCGCCCTACTCTGTAGTTCTTGTGGGTTTAGATATAACTCATATTAATATCAGTTCAAAAAACAGAAATATGGTAATGATCTTAAGTGATACTCTTTTTCTTAAATGATTAATAGATTTTTCTTTTACTCTTTAGTGAATTTCTAGTTTAGACAACACCAAGAAATTATGGCACATGCAAACACGTTTCTTGTGTAGCAAATACTGTTTTAAAAACACACCCTAGTTTCCTGCTATAGGCAAATGGAGAAAGCAGTATAGGCGTACCTCAAGAAATAAACAGAATTATTACTATTCCCAGCAATCCTCCTGGGCATATAACCAAAGGAAATAAAAACAGGATAGTGACGATATCTGCACTCCCCTGTCTATTGCAACATTATTCTCAATAGTCAAGACATGGAAGCAACCCAAATGTCCAGCTGTGGATGAATGGATAAAGAAGCTGTGGAGTGTGTGTGTGCCTTTGTGAATGCATGTACTTGGGCATATATCAGATATACGATATATACATATATGTTATGTATACACACAGGCATGTATATTATTTGTACAGATAATGAATATTATTCATCCATCAGAAAGGATGGATCTTGCCATTTGCAACCACATGGGTGAACTTTGTGGGCATTGTCTTAAGTGAAATAGTCAGCAGAATACATACTGTATGCGTTTCAAGTCGCTTCAGTCATGTCTGACTCTGTGGTCCCATGGACTGTAGCCCGCCAGGCTCCTCAGTCCATAGGGATTCTCCAGGCAAGAATACTGGAGTGGGCTGCCATTTCCTTCTCCACACATACTGTGTGGTCTCACTTAAATACTGAACCTGAAAAAGCCAAACTCAGAGAAACAGAGTAGGTTGGTGGGTACAAAGGTGCTGCAGGGAAAAGCCACTTCTGACTCCAAGTTGGAACTGTTTCTTTGACTTGCTTTCTGTTGCTTTTGTTATTATAATCATACATAATCGCCTGCCTCAGAGAACCCTGTCCCTCTGCCTGACTGTTAAAGGGCCTTTGTTCAGAACCCTGTCCACCTGTGGATAGCAGGAAGGAAGAAATTAACTCATCTCCTCTCTGAGGCTTGCCATTCTAGGAGATATTTGCAAGATTAATGGCCTTTTTACTTTGTTTCCTCACCTCCCCACTCTGATCTAAAAAAGAACCTGGCATCCAGACCCCAGTAAGAGAGTTATTTTGAGATTTTCATCAGCCATCCTTTCTTCCACACCTCATCTCCAACTTATTGGCTTGTCTTGCGGGGAGCAGAGCAATATTGGACTCTGGACTCGGTAGGTAACAAGGTGCTTGGGAGTTGGAGGGTTGCAAAGATGTTGATCAGAGTGAACAAACTGTTCAGTTACAAGATGAATAAATTCTGGGGACCTAATGTATAGCATGGAGACTGGTTACCAAGACTGTATTATATACTTGAAAGTTACTAAGAGAGCAGATTATGAACATTCTTACTACTACCATAAAGAAATGGTATTTATGTTGACCTTAGCTAGCCTAGGATGGTAATCACCTTGCATTGTAAGTGTAGCAAATGAACACTTTGTACACCTTAAGTTTGCACAATGTTATCCATCCTCTGGCAAAAGGAGAAGGGGCCTGCAGAGGATGAGATTGTTAGATAACATCACCTACTCAATGGACATGAATTGGAGTCACTTCCAGAAGATAGTGGAGGACAGAGGAGACTGGCATGCTGCAGTCCAGTGCGGTCACAAGGAGTTGGACACGACTTAGCAACTGAACAACAACAATCAACCACTTCCCAGTAAAGGTGGGAAAGGTGGCAGTCAGACTGAGCAGTCTGTCTGGTTGCCCGATCTCCACTGGTCCACCCTGCCTGGGGCTTTCTCCCTGCAGAGACAGGTCACATGGTCCCCGTCTGGACTTTCTGCTCTCCCGCCTCCAAGGACTAAGGGCGGCTTCCCCAGGTGAAAGGAAGTGTAGGGACCCGCAGACAGGGTTTGGAAAGCGTGGAAGGTACCTGCTTGCTGCTGCTAAAAGGCTGGTCGCTTAGGGTGTGTGTGTTTCCTGAGATTATCCCAAACTGTCATTTGCGTTTGAATGAGGATGACTTGAGTCTGCGCAAGCCAGTACTGCCCTGACGAGCAAGGGGACCGCCGACTAGCCGGTGCCTGCCTGAGTCCTCACTGCCCGGCAGTGCGAGGCGGGGGCCGCCCAGCCCAGTGCCCGGGGCGCCCGGGGCCCCAGATCCGCGCTGCCCTCGGGAGGACCCGAGTCGATTGTGCGGTTCGGGGCGCGGCGCCGGGTGAGGCTCCCGCGCTCTTTCCTTTTCTGGACAGTCGCCGGGGCCAGACATCGGCTCCGGATGCTGGGAAGACCCCAGGGGAGGGATGCCAGGGACGCGCAATCGCCGGGGCCAGACATCGGCTCCGGATGCTGGGAAGACCCCAGGGGAGGGATGCCAGGGACGCGGAAGGCTTCGGGCTACTACCACACGAGGGCGGGGAAGTCCTGGAGTGGGGGGAGGGGATGCCCCCGGTCAGATTCTTCGGGGAGCAGGGGTGGGAAGGGGGCGCAGGCCGGGAGGAGCGCTCGACCCCGGGGCGGGGGTCCGCAGCCGCCAGACACTACCACCACCACCACCTCCCCCGGGCGCGCCCCTCCTCCCCGGGGCGGGCCCTGGGCGGTGCTCGGGGGCGGAGCTCGGCACCCCGCAACCCGCTGCCCGCCGAGCCAGAGCCCAGCCTGAGCGCCGCCCGCGCCGACAGGGGCTGGGGACTCTGCGCCCCGGACCCTGGGAGGCTGGCGCGGGGCCCCGGAGCGCGGGCCCGCCGAGTGGGCGGCGATGAGCGCCGAGGGACCCCCGCCCCCGGCTGCCCGCCGAGGGCGCCCAGGCCGCCTGCAGGTGAGTGCGCGCCCCTCCTTCCCTGCGCCCGCTCACCTCTGCGCCCCTCTCCCCCTCCACGCCCCTTCCTTCCCCGCGCCCCCTTCTCTGGGCGCTCTGTCCCTCTTCGCCTCCTTCCCTGCGCCCCCTACTCACCTGGCGCCCCCTCGTCTTCCGGTGCCTCCGTCCCTCCTGCGTCCCCGTCCCCACGTCCCTGGCCGGTGACCCTCCGCCCTCCCCACCCCAGCACCCCAGATGGAAACTCGTGGGGTCTGCCTGCTCCCGAGTTGAGGGCTGGAAGGCGCGGCGACTCGGCCCCAGTGAAGCAGGTTTTCCGGGACTGGGGGCTCTGGGTTCGCCCCTCCTGTTCCTGCGAGCGGCTTCTGGGCTTGGGGGTTCAGGGGCGCGGAGACGAGCCCCTGAACCCACGCGGCGGGCGCCTCCCCGAGCCCAGCTCGGTCTCCAGGGGCCAGTGTCCGCTGCTGCCCCTACCCCGGCCGGGAGCTCCGCTACTCTGGGGGCAGCCCAGCCCTGGGTGCTGGATTCGTGATGCCTGTTCGGGGTGCGTGTGTGCGTGACTTCTCAGCCCTGCCTCAGAGGGCCCCCCTCCTCTTACTTTTAAATCTCTGCACTATTGCGGGGAAGCAGCAGTGTGGCCCAAACAGAAACGAAAAGTTCTGGAAGAGCCTTGGAGTCGCACCAGCCTCGCTGAGCGTCTGAGGACTGGCGCCCAGGAAAACCCCCCGCCCCAGCGGGACCGCCTCCTGTAAGGTCCCTCCACACAGACTCCCCAAGCCCCAGAGAGGCAGGAGACACGCGCGTGGACTCAGCTGCCTTCTTGGGGTAACTGAGCAGCGTTTCAAGCGATTGTGGTTTGAAGGCTTTTATAAATCCTTGTGTGTCAGAATGTTTCAGTACTTCGGCGGTATTAATAACTGTGTGGTTTTCTTTAAATTAATGACAGTATTAATGACTGTGGTTTTCTTTAAATATGCGTAGAAATAGTTGCCTCATCCATCAAGTTATCCCACTCTGGAATGTTACTGCAACATTTTGCAGTTACTTTCGGGTAAAGTTCCCTGTTGATTGTTTTAAGTACTCTGTCACAGAGGAGGTTTGCAGCTGTTGCAGATGGAAATTAAACGGGGAAGAGGTGCTGGAAGTAAACTGCATCCTTCAGAAGGGGAGGCTGGGGGTTCTGTTCCCCCTGGGGTGACAGCCACCCCCTGGGTCAGAAGCTGAGAGGCTTCCCCAGGGTCCCTGTGATTACACTTCAGGAACCCAGTGCATTTGTGCTGCTGCATAATTCACCTCGTAGACCAGTTGTTGCCAGCAACTTCAGTTTTGAAAAAATAAGTTAACGGCGGATCCTCAAATAAAGAGTTCTGGAGTGCTAAGTGCTGGGTCCTCAGGCACTAAATCTCGGGCTCAGAACAGGGTTGCACCCTGTTTGCAGAGCTGTGATGCTGTGATGACTGCTTCCTTCGTAGTCAGAGTCTTGAGGACGTGATGGCCCGCACCTCGTGCTGCCCAGGGTTCCCTAGGCTCCCAGGCTGCGGGCTGGGAGAGGAACATGGAGCTGCAAGACAGGGGTGAGCTCTCCAGTGTCGTGGGCCCCCGGCGTGCTGGGTGCTGTGCGCTCTGGCCCACGCCAGGCTCAGGGCTCATTTATTTATTAATAAAGCGAGTCTCTTATGTGTTCTCCCCTACAAGTGTCTTTTGCAACAGGAACGTTCAGAGCACACAGTCATGCATGGGGCCTGCCTTGGCCCTAAATGTCTTTGCACTGTTGGCCTCTAGTGGACGTCAGTTTTCACGTGAATCCCTGGCGTCTGGACAGCCGTGCAGATTTGCTGTGTTTCTTATCAGTAACTATTCATAATGTCACTGAATGTGCATAGCTACTTGTCATTTCAGTTAAGAAGAACTTAGTGCTTCTAATTAGACAATGATGACATTTAAGGAAGTTGTTTTCAACCCATTATAATTCTAGCTGTAAACATTTTTTTTTTAAATCAGCAAAACAACATGTTCTTTCTGACTGTTGGTTTGAATCATGAGAACTTGGCCTTGCTTGAGTGTCTCTTGCTCAGGATTGGAGCATCTGCGTCTCTTTTGAATTAGAACTGTTCCCTGGTGCACACTTTCCCCGAGTTGAGCCTTTGTTTACCTGCCTCCCCCACTCCCCTGTGCGGATAAACCCCGAGGGAGAGATCCACCTGTGCATCCGCTTTCACATTCAGACACTGTGGTTCGTTCGTGCTGAACACACGTTTTCTGTTTTTAATGCACGCCACTGCTCCAGTGGAGGCTTCTGTTCAGGGACTGGGAGAGCCAGTCTGGTGTGGATCTCGCGGTGAGTGTGCTGACTGTAAGTTGAGAGCCTGTCAGGTCACGTGAAGTGTGTGTCGGGTAACATCGCCACTTCCTCATCAGTTGGAGAGGTGGATCACCCAGGACCCCCGGGTGATGGGGAACTCCCCCCAGTAACCCGGTAACCTGGGGCAAGGCTGTCCGTGTGTTGCATGCTTGTCACGGGTTTCTCATCCTAGCTGACTCATCTTTGAGATAGGGATGAAACTTCTGATGGTGTTTGTGATGTTGTAAGCAAGATGGACATCTTTAAAAATGGGGAATTACCTGATTTTTCCAGGAGGTATGTAAACATTTTAACGAGATCCAAGTTTAAAATGTATGCTTATTTATTGAAACTATCAAATGTAAAAATATGGCATATTTCACCAAGCAAATTATGAGGAACAGCGACCTTTTATATCTGCATGTCTGTATGGCTGCATAAGCATAAATATGGCTTTTAAGGTTTCAGCAGTAGCCCCCACATCCCATGATGTCTCAGGAGACGTGCTGGAGGCAAGGCTAATGGCAGAGCTACACAGACTGAATTCCAGGGAAGGGTGGCAGGTGGAGACGCTGAGCTGCTTTATCCTCTGGAGGGAGGAGGGGAGCCCGGGTCAGTGGGCTCAGAGCCGGTTCCCCATCTGTGCCTGGGCACCCTGGCTGCAGAATCAGGATGGCTGTGTGTGTCCTGGAGGCTCGCCTGTCACCATGGGAAGCACATGGCATCAGGCGCGTGAGGTCATCTCTGCACCCAGGGCCCTGTATTGTCCGCACAGAGCAGACACTCCCCGTGAGCTTCTAGACGTGGGCAGTGGGTGGCCCTGGCAGGATGGGACCTGGGGACACGAGTCCCCTGCACCTCCACCAGCACCCAAAGAACCTGCGGTTTGGGTTCTGTCGTGGTCCGGGCATGGGTTGGAAAAGAATTTCCAGACATGAAACAGAATGAGAGGGAAATAAAGTGTATTTGAATGGGAGACGCTGTTAGAACAGCGGGCCAGCTGGAGGGAGAGCCGACGTTGAACAGGGGTCCTTAGTCCACTTTTATACCCAGGGTACAGGAGTGGGATGGGGTCTTGCGGGTCACTTGCTGATTGGACGAGGCACCTGCACTGGGTGGGGGGAGATGGGGTCTTGCCGGTCACTTGCTGATTGGACGAGGCACCTGCACTGGGTGGGGGAAGGGCAGGGCAAATACCCTCTCCCTGAGGAGCAGGAAGGGAGACGGGCTACACTGTTCCTCTAATAGTTATGGCATGGGGAGGGAAGGGCCATAAGGGTCTGGTTTTTCCGTTTCTGCATTCCAAGACCCTCCTTGGTTTTATCTGCTCTTTGGCCCCTGGGTCACCACAGGTTCTAAGAGTCCTTTGAGATCTGATTCCAGCACCCTCAGAAACTTGCCAGTTAGAATCTGCATGTATTTTTTGAGGTGAACCAAGGCAGGTTAAAGAAATACTTTTGGAGGAAAATGTAAGAGGATTTCATGGAAAAACGCATCTGCATGTAGACTGGCATGTGCTTTTCCTTATTTCCCACTGGTTACTGTTGTCACTCAGATTTCGGTCTTGGCAAGGGCTGGGCTTGTTCTCACTGAACACTCGAGGTCACTTTCCCCCAGGCCAGGCCGAGGTCCCCTCAATTCTGTGCTGAGCATCAGATCAGCCTCTGCACCCTGGAGCCCTGCCTTCCCCAACTCTCTCCTTTCCTCTTTAACGCTGTTGAAAAGTGTGGTGAAGGCTACGATGTTGTGTTCTTCAGTTAAAATCCTTGGTGAAGCTGTTTCTGCTTTCTACGGAGGCTGTAGTTCTACATCCTGTAAACATTACTAATTAGCTATGTTTTGATTAAGCAGAGAAGTGGGAAATTTAAAAACTGCTCCTGTTAGCTGCTTAGCTGACCTGTTAGCAGTTGTTACTGGAAACAGAAAAGGCCAGTTACGTGGAGGTACCTAGGGGGCCTGCGGGGAGCCCGGCACCTCCACTGACCTGCTTCTCCTGAGGGGGTCTCCGGAGCCGTCTCTGCTTCACACCCGGCGCTAGTCTGCGTGTTACTCACAGTTCTTACTGTGAGTGAATAAATCTGCTTGTCTTTGGACATCAACCCTATTTTTGATAGGCACCAAAATCCCTTGTATCGTGGCGCTGACTTATAATTGCAGTTATATAAATGGTAAGGTTCAGTGTCAAGTCTCATGGTGTTATTAGCATTCCTACCACTTTATTTCTCATGCTGACTTTAGCTGAAGGCAGATGCCCCTCCCCTGTGCAGTGAGTGGTAATTACATTTAAGCGTTGATGAAAAGAGAAGTAACTAATTATTTATACTTTAATGGAGGTAGTTTAAATGACAAATCATTGTAAGAATCAAATTCCATTTCTAGAATGAACGTGAATGCTCTTAATAGGAGTGTAATTTTCTGTCTATTTTATGAATTATTATCTGTAAGAATATAACCACATGAATGCACCCAACTTCTACATTGGGACATTTTTGTTCATTGAACTAGTGTTTAGGGGAACAGTCTGTATTTTCAAAGTGTGACGTAACTGTCAGTTATTCCTGTCAGAAATTACCACATTTGGTATTGAAAATAAACAGTACATTTGTCAGTGTTCACACACATTTTGGTGACTCAGCCTTCAGAAACTAAGTGCCGTGGCCCT